AGAGGCCGCGCAGGCTCGCTGGCCCCAGCCCAGCTCCTCTGGGGGTCCCCCGTTCACTCGCCCGTCCCCCAGGGCAGGGTGGCAGCGTCCCCTCCCAGTTGGGTGCGGAGGGGACCCGGGAGTTCCTGCTTGGGCTCTGCCATCCCCTCTCTGATCCCCTGCAGCAGAGCACGCACCAGGGCAGGGCCACCCCGAGGACAGCGGGGACAGGATGCCACCAGCCAGGGCCCCACCGGAGACGACAGTGACTCATCAGCATCCAGACCCTGCTTGACCCCGGCTGCTTCCCAGGGCCAAAACACCAGCAGAGCGCCTCGTCAGCAGCCTTACACCCAATTAATTCCCGTGCTTCCCCCCAAAAGCCTCTTCCTGAGAAATACGGGTCAGGAGGGGCTCGCCCAGCACACGGGGCCAGCCTGGCCGCCGCCGGCACGGGGCATACGCGTGGCCCAGGCGAGACGGCAGCTCCCCAGGGCATTGCCCACGCATCCTCCAGAAATGAAAAGCTTCCTTACGAGGTCTCAAAGCCAGCGCTAGTCTCGTCTGAGAGATGCCAGCAGGGATATGGCAGGGAACGGGGACGCAGCAGCTCCCAGGGGCTCAGCCCCGCGGCAGTGACAGCCCCAGAGCTAATGCCACAGCGCGAACGAGCTGCTGGCAGCAGCGCCACGGAGCAAGCCCCACGTGCCAACGCAGCGGTGGCATTAGGGGCCACACGTCGTCCCCCTGAGGGCATCAAAGCTACAACCGGATAATTCGAGGCTATTAAAGACCCTGTTTTGCATGAGCATCTATAGGACGCCATTGCTGGAGACGGTCCTAAGTGCGTTCCCCAGCACCCCAGCTGGGTCAGAGAGCTTCTCCCATCCCTGTCCTGAACTGCTGTCACGCAGCTGACATTTTCCATCCCAACAAAAGATCCCGTGGCTGCACCAATCACCCAAAGGGCCGGGAGCGCCTCGGGATAACAGCCCAACACGGGCAGGAGCTCAGCCTGTCCCCACCGCCGCCCCCTCTGAATTTGCTCTTCTCCTCCAGAGACTCAGCTGAGCAAACAGCTACCGCCAACAACCCTGGTGCCAACCGGGAGGCCACCGCACACAACCCATCATTAATGATTTCATTATGTAAATGGGGAGAAAAGGGCGTTGCTGACACCGGTCTCCATGACACTGCAACGTGCGTTGATCCTCCGGACCGATCTGCATGCCGGCATCGCCACGAAACACGCGCACGCGGAGACAGATGCCAATGCCCTGGGGAGACAACACGCTCCCACCGCCCGCCCCGTGTCCTTCAGCAAGAAGCTCTCATGACCTACCTGGAAGTGGAGGATGATCGTCCATATGAGCCCCAGGGTGAGCTTCGGGTTGCCGTCCGTAATGTCATCGTTGCGAATGTTCACCAGTTTCACCTGAAAGAGAAGCAACAGGGTCACAGCTCCCCATCGGCCTCACCCACGGAGAGCGTGGGGGGACGTGTCCCCGACCACGCCGTCCCCAGGGCCACCCCAAGCACTCCCGGCGGGGAGCGGACATGCGAAACCCCAGCGCTTCCCAAAGAGGCAGCGAGGCCACCCCGTGCCCCTGCTCGGGAAGGGGGGAAGGAAGGATTTTTCACATCTCTAGCGCTCTCTATCTAGAAGTGCTTTTCCCAGCACTTAACGGCTTTATTTCAGCTCACATGGAGAAGTGCCTCATCCCCAAAGCCCTGAGCACTAGTGCATAATTTAATAGCTGCAGACCACAGAGCACGGTTAAAAGAGGATGGCCGAGCTTTATTAACTCCCTCCTGGGTTCAAAACCAAGCTGCTAATCAATCAGTCCTAACAAAGGCAGAAGCGCCAGCGCTGCCCTCGCTGAGGGTCCTTCCCCAGCACCCACCGAAAGCCCCTGTCCTGGCAGATTTCGGCCCCACGCAGTCCCAGAGCTGCTCCCTCCCAGCTGCTTTGCTCTAGGGCTGGTTTAAACGCATGTTGCAGTCCCTGAACCAGCCTCGGCACTTCCAGCAGATGCATAGCAGAGCGGCGCTGCCCGGCTGCTGCTCCTGCTCTCCTCGCAGCCGCCTTCCCGGGAGCTGCCACGTGCTTTGGGCTCTTCTCCCCCAGCGAGCTCCCCACCGGGTTCTCCCCGCTCCCCAACACTCAATGGGACTCCACAGTCTCTAGCAGGAGCATCTGGGGTAAGACGTCCCAGCAAGGCCGCTGTCACCAGGCCATCACGCTTCAAAGGAAAAAGCTGTTTCATCCGAGTAGAGAAACAAGCTCCCAAGAGCCGCCAGCAAAATGCTTCTATCAAGTGGCTGGGGAGGAGGAGGGGAGGGGCTGGAAGCGGCTCACCCTCCCTGGAGTGGGGCCTGCGCTCAAATTTATTCAGTGCCCTCAGGCCAGCAGAGAGAGAAAAATCTCTGCTTCAGCATGAACTGGTACCATTTATCACTGTCTCGGCGTATCTGAGGAGCATCACAGTGGGAAGACCTGACCCAACAGGCGGAACAGGACACCCGGCCCCGGGGCTGCGGGGGTTTCACCTGCAGAGCCAACAAGTCTCAGGATGCATCCCACTGCTCCGAGCGGGATCTGCCCGAGGGTGCGGAGGATGCCTGGTCTCTGCCAGCTGCACAGGCTCTGCGGGGCCAGCACCTCCCAAAAGCTCGGCGGAGGGAGCCTGCCCTCCGAAAGCCGAAGGGCGATGCTGCCCAGGGGGGCAGCACGGGAGGACAATACGTCCGTGCTGCCGTCCGGAGTCCGGAGGGGTGATGCTGCACAAAGAGGCATCCAGCTGTGCCAGCGCCGGGGCCATGGCTGCAGGGGGCTGAGCAGGAGCCAGCTGCCCCATCTCCCCCAAAGCTGGTGGAAGGCACGGACACGCCGCAGCCGCTCATCCCCACCGCCGGGATCTGCCGGGGAGCCCCGGGAAAGGTTTTCGGGGCGCAGAAGTGACCGTCTGTGACATTTGCAAACCCCTTCCCAGAAGTGGAGTCTGATCCTTCATTTTGATACTAGTTTTTGTGCCGCATGGGCGGTTCCGAGAGCACACAACGCCTACGGGGGAAAGTCCCCTGACAGCTGTCCTCAACCAGCACCAGCACCGCGGGGACGGGCACACCCTGGCACAGGCTGACGCTGCTTCTCAACACCCTTCCCGAGCCCTGACCAGGAGAAAGAACCGCAAATCACCCAGCTCTGCTTCTGGATGAGCCTAAATCAGCCCTTACCTGTCGCTGCTTCAGGAAATCCAGGGCGATCTGCACGTTCTGCAGCCGGTGGAAACGCATCCGCCCCTTCTCACGTGGCTGCAAGAGAGAGGCGGCAGCTTCAGGTCAGGCTCGCCGGGCCGGCAGCACCCCGCATGCACAGCCACCCCCTGCATGCCCCCGGGAGCCGCCCACGGCGGGCCCCCACGCTCAGACTGCTCGCAG